TACATATATACATATACATATATACATATATACATATATATGTATACATGTATTACAAGTGCTTCGGGCTTCCGAAGCATCAAATATATATATATTTATATATATGTATACATATGTATATATGTATATATATATATATACATATATATATCCAGTTATCACTTTAATTCATTATTTGATTCCTTATTTTTCTAAACTTAAATTTAGAGGGAGAAATATAAAAATCACTAATTTAAAGGGATATTTATGTAAAAAGAATATTAATGTTAATTAAAATTTTCCATCATTATACGATAGTAAACTAATTATAAGTTTTGAACTTTGTTAAATATAACAACAAATGTTGAATTTAAATTTACAGGCGCATATACGAAAAATATCAATATATATTTACTAAAGTTACTAATTGTTTGCATTTATTACACTCAATTTAGATTAAGCACATGCATCCCAGCAAAATCTTAAGCCGCGTGCAGAAGCCATTTTATTGTCATTGGATTGTTAAAGTGAAGACGTGACATTAATACACTTTAAACTTCAATAATGGTTCTATGTCGATAAGAATGTTAAGAGAAACTTGGATATTTTATATATTAACTATGTATTCAGCTAAAGACCAACCTAATGATGGTTAGTGATCGGATAAGCTATTTGACAAAACCTTCATGCTATAGAAAAATATGTATGGATAAAATATACTTATGTTTTGTTAAGGAAAAATATTATTGATATTTTCGTCGTTCATCGGAGTTCTACGGAATAGAGTGTAATTTTTCTGTACTTGTTACCTGCATAAAGACCAAGATCGAAGATAACTTCTTGAATCGATCCCTCCGACACTTAAGTTAATATCAAAGTTTCTCTTAAGTTAGTATCGAAGTCTCTCTTGGTTTATATGAAGTTAATGATGCATTTTTATACTACCGAAAAGGAATATCTCATAAAGATTTTGTATAAGAGGATAATAGTTGTCCTTTAGGTTTCCAGAAAAACTCCTCTGAATATTTCACAAAGGAGGCAGTTCGTAACCAACTCGAACTGTCCCCTAACTTATAAAATATTCATATGAATATTTTGTTGGGAAATCAATGGGGGTATCACATGCGTAGCAGAAGAACATAAAAATAAAATCTCAAAATTTCTCATATGTGTGTTTGTCATCGTGTGAAGATTGATGCGAAAAAATCTACGAAACTTAAAACTGCGTATATGAAAATTGTGTTACCTAGGGAGATCGTATATCCTCGAATCTTTATAGATATCTAGGAAAAGGTAAAGGAGGTTAAGTGTCCTCATCTCTAGCGGTGATCCACACAACAAGGTTGCGACGATGCTCTTCAAGTCTCCAAGCCTACTATTTGAGGAGGAGAGGGGAAGAGGAGAATATGAGAGGCTCTAGCCTATGAACCATTAGTTCTCTCCTATTTATAGAGATCCCTTGTCAACTTGACCCTAATGGATCTTGCCCTATTAAGTATTGGATCTTCATCCAACTACCCAAGCCTCTTAGATTAGTGGATCTTTATTCAATAATCTCTCATTGGCTCTTATTGAATCTTATCCATAGGATCTAATAATTCAGGTATTTATTAGATATCGAATAAGATAGGGGCTCCGATGGATATCTCATATCCGAACCTCTACTTATCGTAACACCTACCATATGTATGTGACCCTCTAGGCCTAATATCGAGCTGACCGTGAGTTATACCTATCAGACTATATAGGGGAATCTAATCCATTGGACATGTCTGTCCTTAGTTACCATATGCCTATAGTCCCTTATCAATCTAATATCTCAAAGATCGTATGTCGGGCATGGTGTTATCAGACCCATACGGTTTCTGCTCGAGTCTCACTCTAATCAGATTCTCCCGGAGAACTCTTTCTCTCCCAATCTGAATGACCCTAGCCAGGGATTTGTCTGAGTAAGAACACATAAGATATTCCTCTTATAATACCGAGATCAGATGATCCTCTATCGACACTCAATAGTCCTCGTAAGGTTGGCTACCACTCTCGATGACCGACTGTGCTAGATCTGGAACCTCCAGACCTATAAGTCCATTATTAAAGAGTGGAGTACTCATAATGTTGGGAAATCTTGGGGGCGACATCATATGCGCAGCGGAAGAACAAGAAATAAAATAAAATCCCTTATTTTCAAAGAGATGTTCGTCGTCGTGCAAAGATTGGTGTATAAAAATCCGTGAAACTTAAAACTGCGTGTAAGATAAATTATGTTACCTAGGGAGATCGTATATCCCTATTTCCTTGTAGATCTCTAGGAGATGATGAAGGAGGTCAAGCGCCCTCCCCTTTAGCGGTGATCCACACAGCAGGGCTGTGACGACGCTCCTCAAAACTCCAGGCCTGCTCTAAGGTGGAGAGGGGGGACGAGAATAGGAGAGGCAAGTAAAGGCTCTAGCCTATGAACCACTGAATCTCTCATATTTATAGAGGTCCCCTGTCAACTTAACCCTAATGGATCCTCCCCAAGCCTCTTAGATTAGTGGATCTCTATCCAATAATCTCTTATGGGCTCTTATTGGATCTCATCTATAGGATCCAATAATTCATAGGCTTATTGGATATCCAATAAGATATGGGCTCCGATGGAGATCTTATATTCAAACATCTACTCATCGCAACGCCTATCATATGTGTGTGACCCTCTAGGCCCAATATCGAGCTGGCCGTGAGTCATACCTGTCAGAACTCATTCTGGCTCAATAAATTATTATCTTTATAATAATTCACTCGACTCATCGACTACGGACATACTAGGCCACTACGCCGCAGTCCCCAAACGATACAGGGGAATCCAATCCATTAGACCTATATATCCTCAGTTACTGTATACCTATAGTCCTTCATCCATTTAATATCTCAGAAACCGTATACTAGGTATGGTGTTGTCAGACCCATACGGTTTCTATTCGAATCTCGCTCTAATCGAATTCTCTCGGAGAACTCTTTCTCTCTTAATCCGAATGACCATAGCTAGAGATTTGTCCGAGCAAGAACACATGGGATATTCCTCTTATGATACTGAGAGTGGATGATCCTCTATCAACACTCAATAGCCCTCGTAAGGTCGACTGTCACTCCCGATGATCAGCTATACTAGATCTAGGACATCCAAACATATAAGTCTGGTATTAAAGAATGAAACACTCATACAGGACATCCTTGGTGTCTCAAGTCTAAGGACCGGATACACCACTAGGACTACAAAATCGCTGTCTAACAATAATACATCATCAACTATCTAGCATTCCATAAGCGGATCAATCAGTGAACTCATTCTCCAATGAGCAACTGTACTATATCCCTAGTCTCCCCACACGAGCAGCTATGAGACCAGTTACATCCATCATATGGATAGATACATAGCACACCAGTTTGTCCGGTTATCTCGGGTAACATATGACCTGGATTATTTAAGATCTATATTTAAGGCGAATCGGTCTCATTATCGTGATCTCATCACGATCTGATTTTCATTATACAGATCCAAGGATATCACAATATATACATGCATATATGCAATAGTCAATATAAAGTGATAAATGCCAAAATATAATAAGCAAAAAAATTTCATATCAAGTCACACGTGCCATCACTCACGTGATTGGCTTGTTGGGCACTACGATTAGCATATACAAGACATTTTTATTGTATAAAGTCTAAAGACCAGATATACCATTAGGACTACAGAATCATTGTCTGATAATAAGGCATCATCAACCATCTAGCATTTCATAAGTGGATCAATTTGTGAACTGATTTTCCAATTAGCACATGTATTGTATCCATAGTGTCCCCATACGAACAGCTCTGAGATCAGCTGCATCCATCATATGGATGTGTATACAGTATATTAGTTTGTCTGGTTATCTCGATGTTCCTATCGAATAACCTATGACCGAGATTATTTAAGATCTGTGTTTAAAGGTGAATTGGTCTCATTATCGTGATCTCATCATGATCTAATTCTCATTGCACAGATCCATGACAATACAATATATTCAAGCAACATGCAATATAATGTGATAAAATACTAAATAATAATAATAAGAAAAAAGATTGTGTGTCAAGTCACGCGTGCCATCACTCACGTGATTGGCTTGTAGGGCACCTATAACTAGCATATTTCACAAGGCAGTTCGTGATCGACCCGAGTTGCCCCTTGGACTTTGAAAAATATTCCATAAGAGAGATAGTTCGTAATCGACTCAAGTTACCCCTTAGACTTCTGAAAATATTTCTATGAATATTTCACAATGAGGTAGTTCATAACCGACTTGAGTTACCTTTTAGGCTTCTAAAAATATTCTTATAAATATTTCACATGAGAGGTAACTGACCAAGCTACCTTTGGCACTTCATGGGCATGATGCTATTAGACTTCTTAGATTTTTCTTTTTCTATGGGCCTTACGCAACATTAACGTGATGAATAATAACTTACTAATTTTATATTTCGCATCATGTTCAAACTTTTCATGAATCGGTACATAAAACCTCAAGCAACAACGATTCAATTTTAGATCATATGCAAGGAACATGTGAAATGCAAGCCACTGCACTTTCCAAAAAGATCTATATTTCCAAGTTCATACCAACTAATATGGCACATTACTCATTTACATCCACTGCATCCCTCCCTTGAGTCGCAACATGTTCAAACACAAGCCTACAAAAACCTTCCTCAGAAGCATTGAATCCCTCATTATTATATTCTAAAGCTTAAAGGCTGTCCATGTCTTGACCTGTACACCCCTTACCAAATGCATTAGATAGCTCATGTTCAGCACTTGCGGTGCAAAGGTTTCATTTTTTTGCTTGGTTAAAAAAAAGTAGACTTAATAATATGCTTCTCGTATAACAATTCTTATTATTGCACTTGCATTATTGTAGCCACATACATACAGGTATAGTGTTCAAAATTGCTATTATATGTTTCAGAATCTTCTGATGCATGAATAATGCAAGAGAATTCTTCATCATTTGGTACCTGAGAAAAGCCATTATTGATTCAATGAGTTTGACAATTAATTAATCTCCTGTCCAAGTAGAAGGTGAGTTACCAAATATCGGGAAGACTTGCACCAAATGGCGACCTCAAGAGTCAGTATGATCTGTTGTTGGAGAGTCCAAATCACATCTTTTTCTAATGTTGATTTGCTTGAGATGTGTGGTTTCATCTTCTACAAGACTATTACTTATGTCTCTGATTGTTTGAATGATACTGTTTCTTAGGGATTAAATGCTGAGACAAACTCTATTCAGGTCACCTGGGACAGGCCACAACAGAGGTGGCTCCTTCCAGCTTACTTCAATGCAGGGAGGATGAGGTTTTTGTTTATGGAAGCGCCTGCCACTAAGGAGGGTCTGCTGCATGCTAAGCAAGCTGGAATACAATTCAGTAAGGTGGAAACTGATGCTGAGGTTCTTGGACTATTGTTTACCAACAAATTGTAGCAATGGAGAATGCTAAATTTAGTGAGGAATTGATTTTTTTTATTATTGGAATCTGTTGTTAGCTAATGAGGTTAATCATGTCTTTAGGGAAGGCAATAACTATGTCAATCGGGGAGGACCTTTATATAGAGCTTTCTTAATTTAATTTTCTCTTTTTTTGGGGAAAAGAAAAACAAATTTGCAGTATAAAATTAACAGTGATTTTGTGCGGCCACCACGATCTTGGATCCTTGGAGGAAGTATGGAGAACAAAGGAGGAGATGGAGAAGTAAGTGCACGAGGACCAGGTAGGGTGACCAGCAATGGAGTCCGCCGCATCCTGCTTGCGGCAAACTATACGGCTCTCTTCCTAGGCACACTCGCTTCCAGCCTCCTCTCTCGCTTCTACTTCGTGCATGGCGGCTCCAGCCGGTGGGTCTCCACCTTGGTCCAGAGTGCCGGCTTCCCGCTCCTTCTCCCCCTCATTTACTTCTCCCCTCGTCCACCCCGCACCGCCTTCACCCCTCGCCTCGTCCTGTATTGCGTCCTCATCGGCCTCTTCCTCGGTGTCAACAACTTATTCATCTCCTGGGGCGTCTCCTACCTCCCGGTGTCCACCTCCTCGCTCATCCTCTCCTCCCAACTCGCCATCAATCTCCTCCTCTCTGTTGTTCTCGTCCGTCAGCCGCTCTACTTCACCAACTTGAACTGCGTGCTCCTCCTTACGCTTAGTTCCATCCTCCTCGCCCTCAACCACAGTCACGAGCGGCCCTCGGGCGTCACCTCCTCGCAGTACATTATCGGGGTCCTCACCACCCTCGGCGCCGCCGTCATGTTCGCGGTGTACCTCCCCATCGCACAGATCGTGTACCGAGGGGTGACCGCGTTCCGGACGGTGATGGAAATGCAGGTGGTGATGGAGGCGGTGGCGACCGGGTTCGCGCTGGTGGGAATGGCGGCGACAGGCGGATTCAAGCAGATGAAGAGAGAAGCCGCGGTGGAGTTCGACCTGGGAAGGAATCGGTACTGGGTGACCATAGGCGCGACCATAGCTAGTTGGCAGCTGTGCTTCATGGGGACTGCGGGCATGGTCTTCTTGACGTCCTCCCTCAACAGCGGGATCTGCTCGACTGCGCTGCTGGTGGTGAACGTGGTGGGTGGCCTTGTGGTCTTCCACGACGAGTTCGGGGTACAGAAGGCAGTTTCAACGGTGTTGTGCGTGTGGGGGTTCGCCTCCTACTTGTACGGAGAGCACAGGAGGAAGGCGAGAGCCGATGAAGAGGAACTGATCGTCTGATCGGCGCTGCAAACCCCACGAGCAATGCGGCCGGAAATGGTGGGGAGATAGTTTGAAGTAACTTCCTCAGTTTACTTGGTCAAAAAAGAACGATGTGTGTCTTTGTTAATATGTAACCTCGTTGGAATATATAAATCTTTTTAAACCATATATAATGGTCAGCATAACTTTCTGATGGTCATCACCTCAGAAAATATATGGTCAGCACAACTTATATGGTGATGAACATCACCAATGATCACCAACGTAAGACAGGGTTCAATATATATTTTCTGTGTGACCAACAAAATTGTTTCATGCGTTACTCGGCATAACTTTATGACCATCACCTTTGCTCATTTCCTTATGTAGCCATGCATTCAATTCCGTATATGACAAAAGCAGTTCAAATCGCCATCGAGCTTTGTCATATACCACATGCATGCTTACATAAGGAAATGAGCAAAGTTGATGGTCATAAGTTATGCTGAGGAACGCATGAAACAATACTTTGTACTCTTTATGAGAACCTTGAACATATAAGTTTTATAAACTATGAGATCTACATATTTTAGACAACAAAAATAATTGTAAGCATATCAACTGCAACAATTATCAACTTAAAAACTCAATACCCCAGTAAAACAAAAATTTTCATTCACATTTACCTAAAAAGTTCATCAACTAGATAGAAGGATAAAGAAACCTCTATTAACATGCAATAAACAATACAATACAAAGTATGCTTATATAAAACAATAGTCCCTATAGCTTAGCTAATAGTTATAATCAGGATTCTCAATTTCGATATGTACCATTCGATACAGGTGGTATGTATCGATCCAAGAGGATATCGGTACATGGACCATCCTCTATCAGATAGTACTAGTGTCTTGATCGGTATCGAGGTGTACCGATCGATACCGAGGCATATCGATCGGTACCGTCCCAAATTTTGATTATTACATAGACATATCGATCGGTATGCCCTAGCGTGATAGGTGAAGATATTTTTAAAGTTTTAGGATGTACTATCGATACACCCTAACGTACCGACGGTATATATCAATACGCATTATACCGAGTAGAGCTCGAAACATCGATATAGATCGATATTCAAAATCTTGATTATAACACTTACTGTTTGTAAACAAAACCTCTTATTTGTGACATCAAAAAAGCCAGAAAGTATGATCAGTCACATACCACAATCCATCTAAATCCAAAATTTACAATCAATTATAATACACTAGAAGCTAAACCAATCTCTCAGTGTATTCATATTAATAACAATATATAGAGTTTCCTCTCCATTAGTTCTACAGTACAACTAACACCAACCTTGGCATCAAAAGAAACATAAAAAATACTTGACCTCAACAATTTTAGTAACACAATCATTACAAAGAATTTAAATTACAAATGCAAATCATATAAAAAAACCTCTTCTTTTTCCAAAACATCATAGCTAAAAATGATAAGAATCTTTACTCATAATTTAACTAGGTACTGCATTCAATGGCAAAAACGGATCCAGTTAGTCAACCACAGATAATTGGAAGACATCAAGTCTTGCAAAGAAATGATATAACATCTTGTAGTTCATCCCATCTCTTTGTATAGCACCTCTACACTAATGACTATAGCAGCTTTGCTCCATCAATTAGAATAATCTTTTTTTCAAAAAAAGTAAATAATACTAAACACTAGAAATAATACACCTCTTAAATGGTCAATTCAAATAAGATGGGCAGCACAGTTAAAGAGGCACCCGCTATTGCGGACTTTGAGGAGGTCAGTGTACAAACGATATCCCGTTGTTTCTATAAATCAAATTTTATAGCATTTCAAAAAAAGTCTTGTAATTAAATTTTCTAGCATCACAGGAGTCAAAACACTTTACAAATTGGCTAATTCAAAAAAAAATCTCTTTATAATGTTTTCATTTGGCTCATCTCCAGTATCTTTCTGTAAAGTTACAATATTTTTGTTGAGGTACTGAAAATACTATAAAACTATTAACAAATACTATAAGAGATATCATATTGTGTCTCTTTGATTTATATTATTTTTAAATAGATGAATTTTTGTTATGATGACAAAAACACTATAACATGCTATTTTTTTATCCTTATCTGGGTGATGTTATTCCTAAACTATTATATCTATTTGAATCATAGTATGGTATATCAAATAGTTTCTTATGTCTATTGGCTCACCTACAGTGTTTTTGGCACTATAAAATTATTAAAAAATACTATAAGTGACATCATATCTTTTTGGTTGTCATTATTCATATACTATTATAATACCAAATTTTTAGACTTAGAGTTTGTCTGATTGATCGAAATACCAAATTTTGATCCCATTGGGATTGGTGAGATAGATTTTCGATATTATTCAAAATAGGAAACACCATTTGAAAAATATAAAAACAAAGATCATATTTTGGGAAAAAAATAAAAAATTATGAAAATTACCCTTCTTTAAATTAGAAAATATTTTGTAGATATTATGTAAATCATTTATGACGATGGATTATACTTCTCCCCGCTTCATTATATATCATTGTTTATACTAAAACCCTTTTCTTGTATCAAAATCTAACTGATTGCTTGGTCATTGAGTGGAACTTCCGTTCTGGTAAAAACTTGAGCCCGTCAAAGAATCAGAACTTCAAAAAAAAATTCTTTTATAGATGTAGAAGGCTTTTCTCTAATGCTTAGGCCATATATGTCCCACTTGGTGGTACCACATATTTGCTCGTGTCAAGCCCTGATACGACAATGAATATTGTCCCATCAGGTGGCAACAAAAAAAATGCAATTGTAAATATTCTATGCAAACAAATAAAGTACCATAAGTCATATAGTCTTTTTGTGATCAAGGCTTTATCTATGAAGACAACCAAATTCCCAAATGTAACGTGAAAAAATGAAACCATGAATTATTATAAAAATGAATGCAGCTCGTATAAAGTTGAATAGAGAAACCTGTCTGTGGTCAATCACTCAAATCAAATATCTAGAAATTAGCAATGAAGATATAAATGGAACTAAATTCATCTAAAATCAATCATTAAAATTAGTCAGGACTACACAGCTTATGGTACAAAAAAGGGCAAAAAAATTGCAGCAAGTAGTCCACCACTGTTAGAATAAAAAAACTATGTACGCACCTAATGTATAGGTTGATTTTTGAGGTCAAAGAAACTAATTTAGTACCTGTGCACAGATGATATATGAATTGATGATCATCTGAAGATTATGGGGGCAGGCATTCTTAGAACCCAGTGGGGCCAGTTTCATCTCACGCCAAATAAAATTCTTATATGAGCCATTGTACAACAGATCTTGGCACCCAGCAATGATCTTTTAACTGTGCTGCTTGAGCCTCCATCCCTTAACATCAAGGTAACCATGACCTGAATTTCTGCACAGCATATTTCTCTAGGACGTTGCTCTAAGCAGCACGGATGGAGGAGACCTTAGATCTCATTCTCAGCGCTGCAACCATGATAGCATATGCTGCAGAGGCTTGTAAATTGACACCGACAAATACTCTGCAGCAAACAAAAGCACACATTACAATTAACCTTCTCTTGAACATGTCACTGGAGCCGGACATGGAGTCAGGTGACCATTAGGTCATTACCACTCTCCTCCATACTATTTGATGCACTATTACCTACAGGAGAAGCATTAGTTGCTAATTTGGCTCCATCTTTTCCACAAGGACTGCAGGAATTGGCAACCTGAACTTCGACAACAGGTTCAACATCCATCAGAGAGGAGCCACAATTGGAGTTTGGGTTAGGTCCAATCTCGAGACTCAACTGAGCACTTTTGCTAGATTCCTCTCGAGCTTTATCAGCAAGGCCATCTATCTGCTCTGAAACATCAACACCAACATTCTCTTTGGCTGCATTATCATCCATCAATCGTTCATTGCAAACTCCTGCAGCCACTTCCCATGAGACAGGTTCTCCAGCTAATGTTCTGACACCACAAATACTATCAACTGTAGCAGTTTCAATTGTCACACTGTTGTTACAACTACCATCGGCAACATATCCAGCCTGACACCCTTTTGCACGATCAATGTCATCAAAACTGATATTTGCATTTTCTTCATGAATAATTAGTGGCTTTTCTGAGCTGCCACAGCCACCAGAAATGTTCTTAATGGTGTCAATGATCATAGGATCAGAAGAATGTGCTACCTCACATCTGTTGTCATTTGCCAAACCATTGTTTCTGTAAAACAAAGTTCCTGCTTCATTCTCTGTGTGATCACTAATCATGGAAACTGCAGCAACCAATTCTCCTTCATTTGGTTGCAAGTCATCTAATGTTCCAGTGGATTGCATGACAACATCTTCTCCGTCATTCAGAGTTTCTAGTGCAATGCTTTCATTTTTCAAAACTTCCTTTATGTTGTCAGAGACTGACAGGCAATTACTAATTCTGTCTTTATCCGCATTCTTTGGTTTTTCAGTGACCGAATCTATCATATCTTTAGCTACCTGCTGCTCCCTGAGAACCTTTATATCAGGAAGTGCACTACCACTTTCCAGGTCAACAAGTGTTTTTAACTGTGTCTGAACAGAAACAGCCAAGGCAATTGCATGATCACGAATTACAGAATCATGTGGTGGGCAGTTAAATATGCTTGTCAACATCCGATTAAACTGAATAAGGCTTGTTGATGATGCAGCTAATCCTCTATCACGATAAACCTTTGTTGATTTAATTACATGCTCACAAAGATTTCCCATCCTTGACCAATGGCAATCACATATTGCAAAGTCAGAACCAGGATTTGATACTACATGCACCTTATTTCGTTCTTTCTGATTCACTACTTTGGCACATGTGCCATCAATGGCAACATCCGAATCAGGAATCTGTATTGCTTGTCGCCACGAAGTGAAACCACATCTCCACTCATCTCTCCAGTAGCGAGCAAAATTGTCTTTCTCAGAATACTCATCCAGCCAATAGTACGAATGCACCTTTGTACCTAACTTATCAACCAGCCAGTCAGCCCGCTGATAAACATTTGAGTCGTTTTCATTTAGGAGCCTAAGTTTCAGTTGCTGATGATACGACTCGATAGCCGTTGAAACTTCTGAGCTAGCCACTAGAAGGGATTTTACAGCATCGGTCCATGCACCTGTAATTTCAGAAAGAAATGAGACATGAGATGAGATCGACGAAAAAGACATCTGATAAGACAATGATCAAATGGAGACCAACCAAATCTAGGAAGCCAAGTTGCCATAAAGTAGTCCAAGAAATCTGAGCAATCAACAAAATCTTCCAAAAATGCCTCAAAAAGATTCATATCACCATGTCCTTTGCAAATACTGGATACTGCTTCACCAAGCCCTCTTGACATCATAGCATGCATCTCTCTCTCTGGACATTTCTTCATCAAGTTTTTACGCAACGCATGAAGTACACGCCATAAGCTGATTAGCACAGAACAGCGGAATACCTCCCTGCAAGACAGATGAGTCAGACATCATTGGCCTTACTTGAACAGAATATCACATGTGAAGAAAACAGCATTACCGACCTGATGGAAAGCACATCTGCTGAAGGATCATCAACAATAAAACCACCCAACTGCCATGTTGGATCTTTTGAATGAACTCTATCATAAAGGGCTCCCATCCATTTATGTGTTTCCCGACTTGCAAAGTTAGGGGTTATAACCCAAGCAACAGGGATAGCGTTCTTATTTGAGTCAAAAACAAGGAGACTGTGTATTGGATACTAAAGCAACAGAAATAAGAAAAGGTCAGAAGCCAATCTGTAAGGAAAATATTTTAACTAGTTAAATGACAAGTACGTAAAATGCATATACCTTTAACTTGTAGGTGCCAAACCTTGAATCAGATGCTATAATACTGCGGTTGCCAAAGTGAATCATCTGCTGAAGTTGCCATTCTGTTTGAATGCCCAAAACAAAAGGATCCGAATCGGAGAAGTTCTCATAAAAGAAAATAAGATCCCTGTGGCTTTCAATCCACAAACCAATGCTAACATCATCATCCGGGTCCAGCTCATAGGCTGAACGCCTAATCTTCCTCTCCAACCTTCGGACATACCTATGGGTAAGAAGATCATCTCGACTACATGGTCCACCCTGCTTCTGTACCATTTGAGAATGCCTCTGCATTATGGTTTCCACAGGAACCCCAACATAGAGTAAAGACATAATCTGAAGACGCAATTCATCAGAGATGTAAGGCGCAAACATCGCACGTGTCCCAGCAGCTTTTTTGTCCAGGGGACCATGGCAGGGTAGCCCTTTTTTGTCCACATGCTTATCTTGATTATATATAATAAGAGCAACTGAAGGTTCAGCTATTAACCGCTTTACGATAAAATGACATACACAACCTCTCTTTGTGTTTGGCCGACCAGCAGGAGTTTTCCTCTTTGTAGCATAGTTCCTGCTCGGGCGAACAACACCTCCTTTCCTATGATCATCTGGCCCAAAGGAACACCAATACCTGCATCAAGCTAAAACCATCATGCAAATAGACAATGCCTGCAACAGATAGCCAATAGCTTCAAACATCTCCAATAATTACAAACCAACTTTTACAAATAGATAAATTAACATAAATTGAAGTCCATAAAAGTTTTTTTCTGCTGTGAGTCAAACCATTGTGAATGGAGATTACTTTGTGGTGGATACCTTTATAGAAGAACTTAACAGTACGAAGTTAACCACGAATTATTTTATTTATTAACAGATTAAGTCACCAGTACTGGAAACCAAGGGTGTGATAAGTTGAAAACACAGAACAAAAGCAATTATCACTCATAGAAGTAATATTCTCTAAATAGGTGCATATATTACATTTACATGAACAATACATGACAATCTTGCGTTCTCTATCCTGGCGTTCGACCCAGAGCAGTCATATGATAATCAGTGACAGAAAGATGTGCAAAATTACCAGAATATGTATGGCAAATAGGTCAAAGTAATTGTTGAAACTACTCTCAAGAAATCTAGGATTTGTTTCTACCTATTACAGTCATGAAAGAGGCTCGTGGTATTTAGTAAAACGACTTACAAAATATATTCAAGGATCCCATCAACTTTTGGTTTGTATGCCATCTCAGGAGGACGCCTCCTTCGTGCTTCAACATGGAATCTGGTTGGACATTCTTTATTATTAGATTCACCTCGTACAAAATCATTCACTCTTGAAAAGGGAATGAGAGCAAGCCTGTCCATTTTTTCTCTCCATCCTTCGACTCTAGACCACACAATATCTGCAGCAGAGAACTCCAAAGTTGGTGGGTTCTGCACCGGGAGTGTCAAGATCTCATCCCATCTAGCCATAACTGATCTACAAGATATCACAAAAGAAGCCATACATGCTGATCAAGATTATATTCTTCTATGGAAACAAAAAGAGTTTGGTTGGCCATATGTTTTACGGTTCTTAAGCACAAGCAGTCAGCAGAAAAATGAAAAAAGAGGAAAAGAAGGGGGAGAGGGTGTTGAACCACAGGAAAGATAGAAACTATACTTTCATTCTCTTTATATGTACCTAATGCAAATGTGTCTTAGCAATATAGGAACTATTAGGCATGAGGTCCTATCCAACATCCAATACATTTTCAGTGGCATTTCTTCTCTTACATTTACCAGAACCAAAGGCAATAAACAACCAAGTCAAACATTGTTTTCTGATAAAAAGAAAGAAGTGAATTATTAACAATAAAACATTTAAACTACAAAATCTGTTTCTGTAGAGAAAAGAAATAACAGAAGAGTTAGCCTTTAAAAGATATAACAAAAACATTTGGAATATTATAACAATCAAAAGCTTAGAGATGCAAATTGCATTCAACATTTGAGAAACCCCTAACAGCTAGAGGTAACTGCTGTTTAAAAATCATATGGCAGTTTAACTTCATCGTGCAAATTTTTTACAGCTACTGAAAACACAAAAACCATAAAGGCCCAAGTTTGTTATCAAAATGAACTCTATAATTATGAGGCTGAAATTTAAATTGATTCTGCTACCAAGCAATTCATGTGATGCTTCTCAAGATTAGTGAAAGGTGTCAGCCGCCAGATGGAGCGATAGAGCATACAAAGTGATTTAACTTACTACTACGTTTTTCATGTTCCTACAAATGTAGCAGTCACTCAAACAAGACATCAGAACATTTAATAGGTGTGTGTGTCGACACAAAACTATTCAAACTAAACATCAGAACACGTCATACAAACCTGATACATTTGATATGCCCATATACATGCATATTAGTACGTCCTAGATTATATAGTTTCCAGAACATCTAACAAGCGACAACTAAATATAAATACAATAAGGATTAATCCCATATTTGCAGTCGAAATCAGATATAATCGTAAATAACGACAAAGGAAAATGGACTAGAATTAATTAACATAAAACTGGACCAAAAATTGACGTACCTGTGAAGTTCTATAAAGAATATCAGGAGCTGGATACAAAACAATCAACAGAAAAAATCTCTACAATGCAAAGCAGCAGCCAAAACCAGACAGTCAAGTTGATAAGGAATTGGTAAAAATTCAGGCTGCAACCTACTTCAAAAGTAACGGACAAAATCAACCATCAATACCACCACAATGAACAGACAAAAAAAATTTGCATCAGCATATAAGTTCGAGCTGAGAAGAAAGGGACGAGAAGGAGGAAAGGGAGAAGGGAGGGGACGGCAGCGGCCCCGCGGAGTTAGCAGAGAAGAGAGGACGGGACAGAAGAAGATCGAGGCGGATTAGAGGCAAAACCTGAGGGATGAGGTCGGGAGGCGGCGGCACCGACGGCAGAGAATCCAGGCCACGGAGAGGCCAGAAGGGAGGGGGGAGGCGGGTGGAGGAGGATGGGGAGAGAACAGGGAGGGAGGGGCAGGAAGAGAGAGGAGGAGAAGTGGGAGGGGGAGAGGGGAGAGAAGAAGCGACGACCTATGTTCGACGGAAGACGGGTCGCGCCAACGGCCGGGTTGGAAGAACTCGGCCGCTAGGGCAAACAGGCGAGACTTCGGTTGCGGGGCAGTACGCTTTCAAGACCTGGGTAGTGGCAGCAGTAAATTTGGCCCATAAATAGACTGCAATTTTGTGTTACACTCCGCCAGGATCGAAAAGAAATAAAAATGAACTTACATATCTATCCTTCCATAGTTCGAAAAAATCACATGTTTATCCCTACAAAAGTCAAGTGTATATATATATATATATATATATATATATACCACTCGAGAAATGCATGTATTTGGATAACCATCTTAGGAGACCCCTCTAGTATATGACAAATGGTGCTTTTCTTTCCATTATTATTTGCGTAACTTTCGACAGCCCATTTATGATATCCCGACAAGCAAAAAGACTGTGGATATGCCCTTTAGATGACGTCACCACGTTAACATCTTGGAGGACAGGTGATCTGTTCCTTTCCATTAGTACAGGTCATGCAAAGATCATAGATAATAATATTTAATGGGTTCAAAGATTTATTATTCCAAGAGGTATAAAAGGTCTAAATAAACATTGGACTAAGTGCTAAATAACACCAAATGAATATGAATAGAATTGTAGGGCTCAAATTATGCACGAAAAGTTTTTGTTTCAATACTTCTCTATATCATATCCAAATGTATTATGTAGGAAGGGTCTTTGTCAAAACAAGTTGCTCAGTTTTGCTCTTGGCAGAAAAAACCATTCAATTTGGTATACTAAGAACAGTGCAATGTCTGCTAAGAAAAATATAACCATATAACTCATCTATCAATATGATTAAGGTCATTTAGTCTCATATTAATTAAGTATAAGAACGAAAAGCTCATAAGTCTGTCAGATCTCTATTACCTGATAAAAGATAAGATTTCCCCAACTATACAAGGAAATCTCTCTACTGTTGAAGAAAATCCTCTATTCTGTTGAGGAAAATCCTCACTCCAATCTGTATAAATAAGAGAGGGATATGTTAATGTATTCAAGCTAAAGTTATTTCAATAAAGCTTCTTCAATAATTATTCTTATATTCTATTATTTTCATTATTACCCTCGTACGTATCTTTTGGAGTTTATATATTCGAAAAAGGATAAAATCGTGAATCATACTAAGTACCTCAATCAAGGAAATTCGCTCCCGGTTATGAGAATAAAGGCTCATAAGTCGACCAGATCTCTCAGACTCCTTTTGATCGACCGATCAAATTATCCTTTATCACAATACAAATTAAAATTATTTAATTAATCCATAATATCTTATAAATTATTTGTATGCTTTTTTTGATAATAAAAACTTTAGTTTTTAGGGTTTTCATCTCATACAAAATTTTTATTTTATGCAAGAATATGTGTTTAATCAAACCTGGTTATTCTATTCATTCGTTTCTACTCTTCATCTATTTTGTCACTTGCCTCAGCCGCCTAATCTTTAATAAGATCATACAATTCTATACAAAATAAGATGTCTTCCATCCTTGATTTTCAAATAAATTTATTATTTTTTAATTTAAATATAGTGTAACTTAAATCCTCCATTTAATTTACATATAAATGTGGATCAGAAAACTAAGGCTTTGATATAAAAGTACATGAATACACAAAAATGTCCAACATCTGGATTTTTTTTGCCCTTTGTGTGTAAATCAACATTCAAGCAAATCAAACAATAGAATAATACATGAAAAACCCTTTAATAGAAAGGGAAAAATCATAAGCAATGTCAAATAATACTCTCCACTATCCATAATTAGTGAAATTATAAATAATTCTATCTAAAAAAGAATCCTATTTTTTCCCATTAATGAGCATTGTGGGATCACATAAAGTGTACTAGTTATTCACAAATTTTCTAAGACTTGCAAATTGCTTGCTGAGGTGAACACAACTATTTACCATTGTTCTCAAAAGTACAATACTTCTTACTTTCCAGAACTTAAAAGAAAAAAAAAAGGAGCAAATTCAGCATATGTTGAATCATCAGAATATTCTGCAGCAAATGATAGAAGATGACCAAAGCAGCAGTCTCCATGTAATTGAATGGTAGCCTAAGAAGGATGAAGCAACATTTGCATAGTTATCCAATGGAAACAGTCATTGACCATATCGAGTTTGGTCAAACTGACAGGTCAATTTGTCAACTCAAAAAATTATTATTATTATTATAGTATTTATAATTTATTATTATTGTTTTTGAATTATTTTCATTATTTTTCCCTCATCACTTTCCCTCCTCTCTATTCTTCTCTTCCTTCTACTGTTTTCTCCACGTTTCATTCATTGCTCGCATCGCTTTTTCTTCTTCTTCTCATTATGTTCTTTTTGTTTTTCTTTTATTTTCTTCCCCTCCTCCTCCTTCCACCCATCTTCTTTGTACCTTTTCATTCCCTCTTGTTCTCCTTCCACTCCACCTTCCCATCCTTCTCTTTCTTGAAGATTGGAGTGGGCATGATTGCAGCCGCATGGGATTGTTTTCTTCTTCATTCATCTCATTTCTCTCCTCTTCCTTCTGTTCTTCTCCCTTAATATTTCTTTTGCTCTTATCGCCTCCACTGTCTTCTCTTTTAGCTTCTCTATTATTCTTCTTTTCCATATACTCTTCTTCTTTGTCCTATTTCCTTACTCTTCGTCTTCCTCTCCTCCATCTCCCCATCCTCTTTATTTCCTTCTCCTATTTCTCCATGATTAAAGTGGCATGACAATGTAGGCTTTCTCTGATGCTAATATTCCTGAAATACCCCTTACTATAATTCAATTTCATTCATAAAGCAGTGATATTATCGTCTTTTGGATATATTAAAAAAGGGCCGGTTGGTTCATCAAAGAACCAACCGTGTTAGACGGTTCAATTTGGCTTTTATGGTCGGACCAACCGGGTTGGACCGGTTCTAATAATTATGCTAATTTATATTATTTATTCTTCAAGTTTTTCGGGGAGAAACAATTTAATACAACCTATAAATTACTTTAATGGGTGGAATCAATTTGCAAGAGGTTCTTTAATTAGGGAGATTTGGATTAGCGAAAAAAATCTAGATATATAACTTAGACAAGTATTTATTAATCGTTGGAGGAGTCAATGGTCAATCAACTACGATAATAAATAAGGCATAAAGCAGATGGTGTATTGGAGTCAAAGATCGGACGATACGTTGAAGATTCGGACGATGTGCCAGAAGCTCACCGAGAGTTCATCGGGAGCTTACCGAGAGTTCGTTGGGAGTTCATTGAGATTTCGTCGGGAGTTTGTCAAGAATTCATTAGGAGTTCGTTAAAAGCTTACTAAGAGTTCATCGGAAGTTCGTTAAGAATTCGTCGGAAGAATAATTGACATACCGGACGAAGATGACTTAGTTAATGCTTTAATTATCATAGTTAGAACTTCGATTGAGTTAGGATACAGAGGGGCAAAGGGTAGGAGTATTCGCAGCATATATTACCTTAAAATTTGCACGGCGAACACGTTTCATATCGAGAGATATGGAAACATTTGGATTCTTCATATTCATAAGAATGAGATGGAAGAGTTCACATCATTTCATATCGAGAGTGCCAAGATATGAAACCATATCGGCTGCCAACCCAAGCATTTAAGATCATTAGATAGACTGATAGGCGAGTTCTTAAAGTCATTGAATTGACAGAATTATGTGAGTCAGTCGAGCAATTCTGAACCCTGCCGAGCCGAATCGATGTCCCTTAAAGACCACGTCACGCGCGCGTGGCTTTGACATCATCATTTGTCTTGTCCCTACCATCTTCTTACCGGTCGGTGGCGGTGGTGGTGCTCCCCGCGTTGCGGTGGATGCATCATTTTGTACCTTTAACATATAATAGACGAGCATTAGCAAAGGCAGACTGCGTACAAAAAGCAAAGCAACTGGGACCAAATCGAGGGCACATGCGCTATGGTTTCAAGGTAACGCATCCTTCGCTTGCCCTTCTGATGCTTATACCACTTGACGGATGCAACAACGGTGATCAGCTAAGAAAACAATGGTGATCAGATACGAAACTCAGAGAGAGAGAGAGAGAGAAGTGCGCGCCAGAACACAATCATTTCGTGGTTTTGGGGGAGGTAGGCGTGGAACTGGGAAAGTAAAGCAGCAGGAGGAGGTAGACAGAACGTGGGGCTTGACTGAGCCAGTAGGCCTTTTATTGTACGCTACATTCCCTGGCAGTTCCAATTCTTTATGGCTGCCATCTTTTTAATCTCATCAGGCCTGGTCGGTTGCATTCCGTCGCCGCAGCACCTCTTTTTCTCCCTTGTCCCCCCAGGAAGTCAGTCGCAGAGCAGTGTCATTATATACCCAACAGGGGGGTTGCAGGTTTACTCTAGAAGGAGAAAAGCTTATAGTATATGCCAGAAAGGAATCACGAGATGGCATCGTACCATGCGAAGGTCAAGGTAAAGTTAATCCGGAGAAGGATTTAAAAGGGGGAGGGGAGGAGAAAGGCAAGGGGTTGTGACCGTCAAGCCCAGAAAGCTAACTTTCAGGTAGTGAGTGATCAAGACATAGATAGATATATAGAGAGAGCTGAGACGGAGAGTTGATGGAGAATCAAATAGAAGTTCCATACCACATGGTTCATGGCTACGGAGGAGGTGAAGGATGCTTCTTCTCTGGAGGAGATGCAAGTGCTGCTGATGCTGTTAACCCTGCCCTACCATGGTGTCTTACTTCGATTCATTCTATCAGCCCAGCTCACCCTCAGTTCGCTGAAACCAGTTCTGGGCAAGATCAGCAGCTATTCATGTACCCTGCACTCCCTCCCTTTGCTCCTCCCCTCTACGGGGATTTGTACGATAACAAGACCTTGACAGGCTTGCAATTTCCTTATGATGGAGCGGTAGATTCGCCAGCAGGATCAACGGAAGCTGGTAGAGGTGTGGGCTTGAATAGATTTCTGCGAGCACAAGGTTCGGCTTCTTCCTCTCTCTTTGGGACCATTCATGCAGAGTTAGGGAGGTTGACTGCCCAGGAAATCATGGATGCCAAGGCCTTAGCTGCGTCCAAGAGCCACAGCGAGGCCGAGCGCAGGCGCCGCGAGCGCATCAA